AACCCTTTAACAGTCATAACACAATCAAAATTTTCATTGTCTTTGAACCTTAAGGCAAGCTAATAAGGTATAAAATATGGTGGGAACTATATTCACACTGCCTTTTAAAAGCTTAAAACATGTATGTATACTACTAAACGTAATTCTGCAAAAAACAGTTCATGCAAAAAACGAGAGGTCTCTGTGAGAACAAGCCCTTATTACACAAGTTGTTACCACTATCTTAAAACAGGTAAACAATAAGTTTATTTTGTTTTATCCGCAATCTCGCACTCGCCAATCACCTGGCGACAGACGGACGGAGCTAGTACTCGTAATTGTAAGACACGACGGCAGCAGCCACTAAACAAAACGATGGATTGTCACAGTGCGTATTCTAATAGGCTGATTTACATGAAGAGCGCCGCTTGAGCTACGATTTGTTGGGCCGGGAGGCGGGAGAACTAAAAGGCGACTTATTGGGTTTGTTTAGGATCCATATTTACGTCAACTATTAAAGGAAATGATCTAGTAAACTTAGTCCCCTGTTTGCGACTATCTATCAAATTCTGCAAATGAAATGTATCTGCATATGTTATTTTGTTAATTGTGTACTTAATACTTATAGACTTGTTGATTTTTTTAGTAATATCTAGGACATCTATTGGTTAACTCTTCTTTTACTAGTTGTACAAAAATATTTCAACATCAGATTTAACACTTTGATACCTATCGCCCGGTCTACCTACCAGCTAGTTCGGTTCGACGCTTGATTGATGAGTCGACAACTGTTGTGTTTTGCATTCAGCTATTTACGGGCATTTCCTCCGCTTAACCCGTCTGCCACCGGTGATTAATGACGGCCACCGGTGGCTGCTACACTGGATGTACGCTCCGCTTGCCGAGGAAACAGCTTAGGGTTACTATTTGGAGCTGAACACTAAATGGTAAAGGTGGCTGTCTAATGGTTAACCGCATTTCATTTGTCTTATTTTCCAGAGGATGTTGGTTAACTGTTTAGTTTTGCCTTTTAGGAACGTACTCATTTTGGATATTAGTCTTTTGAAAGAAAACGCGTAGTCATGGCTTTAATTTAAAATAAACAATAATATGCGTTTTGTTCTAGGGATGAAAGTACTAGTACCTAATTACTTGGTACTATCAGCTCCTACGCAGCTACCTTTGGAAACCCACTACAAAGTTAAATAACTGTTATGTATGATTAAAACTGAGCGACTGCCTTATTGACATACTGTGCTATTGTAATTTTTTTTACTCTTTAATGTTTGTCGAATATCTTACTTAATTTAATATATTTCAAATTCATGCCGTCGACATTGAAAAAATATTTGTGCCAAAAAAAGAAGAAAACAAAACAAGCTGAGCTGTTTCTGTGTGTTATCGAATTAATCTTCATCACACGCTTGTCGCACTTAAAAAAATCGTGTTGACAAAACTGATTCTGCGAACGCTCCATTTATCTTTTCCGAGTATCAGAGATCTGGCAACTGGCATCGGCGACGACTGAGCACTGAACAGTACAGTGACTGTCCGCACCACGCTCGATTAACAACTTGGGAACACCTCCTTGGTTTCTTGGTATCCTGGTAGCTCAGTTCGGTGGTTATTTGGTTTACTGGGACAAAGTGGGTGGTGTGATTGTTCACGCTTTAAGAATTTAATGGATTTGGCAGAAAAACAAAATGACTTTAAAATATTTTAACGTATGTTAGATAACTTCTTACTGATGACGTGACGTAGCGATAAAGCTATGGATTATTCGCTTTTGCAGAATTTTATCAAAGAGCCGTGCACTGTAATAGAGCATGCGATTACGTAAACATGTCGCATTGGAAATGCTGCCTATAATGATACCTAGTATGTCTATGTTTGGTTAAAGGAATTAAAAATTGACACGGTTAAACGTTAAACTTCTATGGTAAGGAACAGCAGTTGGTTGGAAATAGGGTTGCCAGGTCCAAAATCACAAAAGCCGGACTTTGTGCTTCATTTGGCCGGACATTTTATCCTAAAAGCCGGACATGGGACGAGGGGGGGGGGGGTGCAATTAGTGTCAGCTCATGAGTGAGTACTATCATCACCGGTTGCTATCAAACATCCTGATGCGTGCGCTTCTTCATATGATTCTGTGGCTCGACTTTCACCAGGCGCGACAACCAAATAAAAAGCCTAACAAAAGCCGGACAGGCCGGACAAGGCAATATTTGGCCGGACAAGTCCCTAAAAAGCCAAACATGTCCGGCTAAAGCCGGACGCCTGGCAACCCTAGTTGGAAAGCAAAAATATTTTGCGCATGTAAAATTGACTTTAGCCAGTTAAATTTATGTTCGAATCCACAATAGTCTTTAATTATGTCAAGGCTTTATTTTGATTGTTTCATCTGCGTACATATTTGCCTTAGAAGGCAGCTGGGTGTGGTATATAATTGTCTATGCAGGGTTCAGTTTCAAGCCGAATAGAAGTGAAAGTTGAAGGTCTTCAACACATTTAAATGATGATGTCAACGTTCACATCAACATTAAATTGATTCAAACATCAAAGGTATTACTTATGCTAAGCCAGTTCACTTTAGAGACTTGTGTTGGTGGCAATACACATGTATACCAATGAAGTAAGAACTCCTAAGCCTTGGAGCAAAATGACCCAAAGTTAATTTTGGTATAAATGGAGAGGTCAACTAACACTGGAGAGTTCAGCTCATCCCTGCTTAGGATTACGGGCACGTAGGACGTAGGCGACATCCGTATGGCTCCTGTTTTTCCGCAGATTACAAATACACTGAATTTAGTTCATGCTATTTCGAAATAAAATACAAAGACTTCGTGCACCGATTTCAGTAGGATTCCGTAGAGCTCATTCTAGACTCAGTCTGTGCAACTTTGTTTTTAAAAGCGGGATTACAAACACTAAATTCAAGCTTAACATTTGGCTTACACAAAATGTAACAATGTCGTTATTCGAATGGGTACTGTTATACTCATCGACTGCGACGAATCAAGCAATTTGCATATCGATACGACGTAAAATTCCTTAATGCCCATATTGACAGTAAAATGCGATTGGACCCGTCCGACAATTAACTGATACGTTTAATTAAAGAGACAAGGTTGGGATGGGGTTCCATTTTGTTGCCTTTATTATCAGAATAAACACGATATGACGCAATTATCTTTTAATCTCCGCCGCGGCAGTCGATTTCCTTTCGGAATGTAAATTCTACGAGCGATAATTTTCTCGTGTTTGTGATGTTATTCAATAATACAGATCTGTGTGTTTCAATTCTGTCTAAACAACATTTTTGGTTCATTGCGTAATTTCGCGGTGTGCACAGTTAATTTAAATCTCGGGGCAGATTAATTTAGATAACTGTTCGGGTTTTATTAATATTTATGAGCAAATTAATGTTGCAAGGATGTCCTTATCAAAGTTTTAGTATCATTTGCGATTTTGAAATGACATCTTAGCCTAGTAATGAGAATGTACCCATATTAGGCTATGATTAAAGTACTCGTAGTAGGTAACACTAGTGAGTCATGGGTTAATTAAATGACGCGGTCACAATATCTAATACAATTAGGTAACAGGTGACATTATTTTTATAGATATGAAATAGGAATACAATTGGAACAGATTCCGAAATTTCTAAGTAAATATTACGTAGTTGATTTGAGTAGAGCAACTACGACTTGTATTTCCAATAACTTCGGGTTCGATATTTAGTTGTAGAGGGGCTGTAAGTGCTGCAAACATCAAACGGCTAAAAACTTTTTGAAAAAGGGGTCGATCTACTATTAGTGCGCGTGTGTGCAAGGTATTGTGCGAACTGTGAATGACCTCTCCGGGGCAATAATGGGCGAAGGGATGCGCAGGAGCGCGTGCGATGGGGCGACCGGTTTGAAATTAGAACGTTTTAGAATTCCTTTTTTGAATTTAAAAACCGAACGTTTATTTTGTTTGTGCTCTAAAAATAAAGGAAATAAATAAAAGACGTTTTTTTGACATTCACAAAGCAATAATGTTGTAAGTTAATTTGCGTTGACTTTAGAGTTTGTTAGTTCTATTTTTTTGCCATAAATGACCTCATTAAATGCTAATTCTAATTTCACACAACCACTTAATAGAAAATAAATAATTACCTACTTATCATAAAACAAGTTGATAACATTAAACTACATCGTTTCTAAACGCCCCATTTTCTTAGCTCTAGATTGTTTTGAAATAAGTATGTAGTTTTACTTAATGTAGTGATAAAAATGACATCTATACCAATCCTTGAAAATGTTCGACGTCACAATTTCACGGTGGTACGGATCACTGTCAGTTAAAAATTCATGTTTAACTTTACCGGTTTTTTTATCTCCGCTTTTGTGAGGCCGCCCGGTGCGCGCGCGCTAACTCGACAAATGCGTCGGATGAAATAAGCCGTATTTTGTTTCCTTTCCTTTTTGCTCCTTTCAGATTTTAGGGGGTTGGACAAAAACTTATTATTGATCACGGGTTGGGTGCCCCACGTGTGTAGCGCAATAGTTATCGCGTTGTTTTGTAAGGATTAATAGCGTAGGCACTTTTTAATGCGCACAAAAAGTTTTAAAGGCCTTTCCGGAGTTTTAGAGTGGATTACTTGGTTTGGAAATGGAACAGGATCTGGGCTGGGTTTATTTCTTTGTGTTATTTTTCGATATTACTTAGAGAACTTTTGACGCTTAAAGGTGATATAAAAAGTATCATAATATTTGTTTCTATTTTAACAGTATCGTGTATTTTTTTACTGATGGTAACTATGGGAGTTGTTTTAAAAATCCATAAATAAATTGAAGCGATCTATCTGCACACCGATAACACACCGAAGCGCAACAGAATAACTTAATAAGGTCATTAACAGGCCGCCTGAAAAAAGCTCTCACAAACATCTCCATATCTCACATTTGGTACATCTGTTTACAACATCGAAGAGACTAAGGCGCCTGTAGCCCCCCATTTGGGCGAGAGTAAACACAGAACAGGGAGGGCGCGATAGTACGGCGTAAGACTCGGAACCGGTTGGTCGCGTGACGGGTGACGGCGCCACCCGAACGATGCCGCGTACGCGTCCCGAACTTTTCCGAACTTCGAAATTCGAGTGACATTCGAAATTCAAACATTTAAATGACTTGTCAGTGAGTGATAAAAAGTTAGCGTGCTGGCCAGTGATTGAACAAAAAGTTGTTAACCATGTGAATTGTCGATACAGTGGAAATTGTGCTCAATTCGGTGGCAGTATGGTGGATGTTGGTGTTAATGAGTGTGATAACACCGCGAATGGGAAGAACCAATTTGTGTGTCTGGTGCTTGTGCATTTGCTCCTTATTGGACTGAACGGGACTAATGGTAAATTGTTTGTTTTTTAAATTTCGCAGCAATTTATGGACAATAATTTTCANATTTTTCCAATTTTTTGCAATTTTCTCTGTATTGAAATAAATAGTTATCTATTGATTTTATTTACTTAACCGTGGGGATTATTAGTTGGTAGTTTTTTTTGTAGTTATTTAAGTAAAAAGCTTAAGATCAGATTTCAGCTTCAGCTTCATTTCGGTATCGAGAGGATTCGATTAAAGAGAAAGCTTTCAGAAACATTTTAGGTAGAGCTTTCAATAGGCATTAGAATAATATTTAGATGTCATTTGTTATTATCAGGGAAGCATAATTATTTTGTTTTTATTAGCATTTATAATTAAAAACCTCTTCGGTCAGTTTAGGTATTTTTTTAAAAAGTACAGAGAACAGAAATACTAAAACTATAGAAATATAATAAAAAATTCAAGTTCTCTAATAAGCGTATCTTCAAAAATAACTTTTAAACGGTCTATTAAAAGATAGTTTTTTTATTAGATCCACCGTATCGTGTAATTAAAGTACACCCGTACCAATTAACAAAATGTGTTTCCGTGGTGCCGACTATTGTCTAAAACAACGAAACCTTTTTTTCCAAGTCGGTTAATTGAAGTTAATGGACAACGGAACAGAAGCTGCAATAAATTGTGTTTGGAAACACTGTTACTACGCCTATGTATGTAGGCTTGAGGAATTTAAATGTTTGTTTAGTATCCTATCGTAAATTAAAATTTTACTGCTCGACTGTACGTACTACATGTACTGAATACAAAATGTACCGTAGAGCGTTATTTTAAAACTACGATTGCTAAGAATTCAGTTTATTAGAAACTAGAGTTTTATTGAGGTTTAACCGCGAGACTTATAAAACGTACGTACTTGGAATACTTGCTGAAGAACAAATCGTTGTTGAAATAAAAGGATATTCTCGTTATGTTTGGATTAAAATAACTTGTTTTACGTCACTTTCAATACAATACTCAATCTTTAATTTCATTCATTATGTACACTTGAAATTAGAACATTATGGGCCCTGTAGGGCACGGCAATTAGCAGAGAAGAGGACCAATTAGATTAGCCAAAAAACGTTTATTTAGAGCTCTCATTTGCTTCGGTTCTTGNAATTTTCAAATTTTTTAGAATTTTCTCTGTATTGAAATAAATAGTTATCTATTGATTTTATTTACTTACAAACCGTCTGGATTATTTGTTGGTAGTTTTCTTAAGCTCAGATTTCAGCTTCATGTCAGTATCGAGAGAATTCGATTAAAGAGAAAGCTTTCAGAAACATTTTAGGTAGAGCTTTCAATAGTCTTTAGAATAACATTTAGATATATTTTTTTATTATCAGGGAAGCATAATAATTTTCTTTTTATTAGCATTTATAATAAAACCTCTTGGTCGGTTTAGGTTTTGCTTAAAAAAAGTACATTATAGAGAAATATTACAGAAACACTAAAAGTATAGAAATTGAATAAAAAATTCAAGTTCTCTAATAAGCGTATCTGGGTACTTNGGTTCTTGAAATAATATTTCGTACATTACAAAAAACTAGTAATTTTCATTTGTAAAAACGACTAAGTAACCGTTTAGCTTAGACATAGTAACCGTTTAGCATAGCAAAGTCCAACAACATGACCACCGAAATGAGCTTTGACGTCGTTCGGCCCCGTATTCAATTACGGTATTAAATACTTACTTCAATTTATATAATGCACGATTGCAATCAAGTCATCTCCATGAGTATTGGGATCTGGCATGTCTGGCATAATGATTATGATTGCCCAATACGATAGAGAGTAATTAGATCAATTACATAGAGTATGCCCCTCCTAGGAACCTATGGGGCTTTGTCGTTATCATTAATGCTGATATCACTTGCGCGATTATGGATAGATCTGAATATACGAGTACGGAAATGGCATTAGTAAGTTTGGTTAAGATCTACTTTCCATCAAAATCTTAGCTCTATCCATTTCAGTTACTCATCTTGAGATGGTATAAGATAGAGAGAGCCGAAATTATTGCATATTATTACTATACATTACACGAGTATAAGTATTTAGGTACTTGAAATTCATGCTAAATTATTTTACCTTTCTTATTGTGGGTTCAAAACATTTACTATTTATTCTATGGGTTTACCCAACCTTTACTGTTGGGTTGGGTTTTCAGTGATGGGATCGAGACGTGGGAATAGTTCCGGTCCCTATATTACCTTTACTTAAACAAAGGCTGCGGCTACCATAAATCATTAACCAAACCCATAATGGGCGAACAAAAACGCCGTTACCGGCAATAATGCACTTTTTGTATAAATCAAGCGAACAGAATCAATTTATTTACTCCACCCATGCGCCTACGCAACAAAAATACATGTCCGATAGCATTGTACGGGTTATCGGTGACAGAGACATGTATTAATAAAGGACAACTACCGTGCTTGGGAAATGAAAAAAAAAAAAATGACAGCCACGAGTGGGCAAGGGTTCCGTATCGGTTATTAAAAGATAAATATGTGTCAAATTATAGATAAACTGACGTGTGAATGAGAAACAAATTGAGTTTGATATTATCAGGAGAAAGTTATTGACGCGCAGATGAAATTATAGTAAACAGCTACTTACCTACTTGTCCTACTTAGATAGAAGAGTCTGGGGTGTACTCGCCTCATGTGAAGACGATTTCGAAAAATAATGTTTTTCTTTCACTTGTTAACAATTAACGAGATCGTAGAATCGTCGAAAACGTAGAACGAAGAGAAGGAAAAAAAGTGTCTATTTTTAAGGATTTTATGACGAAGAAGATTAAAAAAAAAACATTACGGTTACAATTTACAAAAAGCTCTGTCTAAAACAAGCTTTGGCACAGTAAACATGGTACTTATTCCATTTGATGAATATTTATTGACAAGTATTTTCAGAGGTTTGAAATTAGTAAGTCATTTGTTAAACTTAATTAAAATTTTGAAACGAGTTTAGTTGACATATTGCATTAGCTATTAATATTTTAATAATCAACATAAACATGAAATAATTAGGACAGTCTGTCGGACATGATTCACTATGTCCGTCAGTTAATTGCTATGCAAGTTGCAGTGGCTTGCTGTTTATTGCATTTCATACTTAATGCAATAACGATAAACTAGCCTAAGCTGGCAAGAAGTAAGCTAAAGCTTATACAGATGACATCACTACAAGCTACACAGTCTGATGAAATGTTGACTGTCCTTTTTGACAACATGTCTGTTAAGACCAGACTAAAAATATGTTTTTTTGACATTTCATTAGATCATTATTATTATTAGTAAACATAAGTGTATTAAGAGCCGATTTTTCAGTTGTCAGATAACTTTTAACTGAAGAATAAGCTTGTCATTTTGACATATTTCCCATATTGAAACTGTCAATATGCCAAACTTATTCTTCAGTTAAAAGTTGTTCAGCAATTGAAAAATCAGGCCTTAAACTAGTTAAGTTTTTTAAATGATAAAAAGATATTATTATGTTTCAATTATCACGTCACAATGATAGGATATTTTCCCCAGTTTTGTATAATAGCCACTGCTCCTTCCAGCGATATCATTTAATTGAAAGCTCTTCCACAGATAGAGCATTTTATTTTTCTAAACGATTTACCAATGAATGTGTTTTTTTTTTGCTAGATAATTTCGTATTAATCTAAGAAAATAAGTATGTTCTACTATTAATAACTACAATTAGTAATAAATTGCTAATTAAACGTGAAAAGTAGGCCAATAAAAATCTTCAAAATACCATTTGGCCAACCATTTATCAATGGAAAATGATTTATTACTGAATCAAATTAAAATTCAAAGTATATCTCAGAATGACGTTTCAATATTTCACAGGGAACTCTAATAAATGGGAATTATTACAATACCCCGTGTGTCGTCTTATCTGGATGATCATCTCGCGGCACGGACAAATGCTACGAGTACATTGAGAGATGCATAGATTTCTTTTCCGATTATTAAATGCCTTATTATATGCACCGCGTTTAATCATTTATGTAGGCGTGAAAGTTAATGGAAGATGGTCAGTTTTGAACCAGAGATGGTTGAATGACTGGTCATTATAGATAGGTGTACAGTTTTATTAATGTTGTCTCTGAGAAAGATTTAGCTTAGAAAAAGTAAGGAACCCTAGTAAAAATGATGCGAGAAACTTCAATATTTTGTAATGTTTTTAAAAGGTTGTCTTGAATTGAAAACAGACATCAATCCAACGATTGGTTTACAAAATAAATGGCGTACGTTGAAAGCTTAGGTATTAATTATGTTTACTACGTAACAAAATACAGCTTTGGTGTGTGGTGAAACCACATTTCATCCTTAAAAATCTTTTTGAAATGCCACATAAATCATATCCGCAATTTAAAATCACACATCAATTATTGTCAGCAAATAAAATGTTGTTATCATTTTTCCACATAAAAGTTGCTAATCTTATTTATTCAAATGCGAGTCAGAAACGGTTATGCGACCGAAAAATATTTTTTTTTGCATTATACAGTGCGTCAACGAAGCACACAATAGAAAATCCAAAAAGAACTTTCGAGCAAAACCTAAATGACAAAAGCTTTGCTTAACGATTACAGACAAGCGTGAATTTTAACAATGGCTGATTGACGCTAAAATAGTTATTATCCGGCTTAAATCTATGCTGCATGTTTATTTAGACGTTGGTTAGAATAGCAAAATATTTAAAAGCAGTTGTTACGTTTTTCGTTGGACATTTTGACGTTTTTAGGGTAAAGCATTTCGTGGGAAAAATAAATAAACAAGATGGGAATATGCATTGCGTTCTCCATTGTGATTCACAGCGGCGTCATATACGTATTTCTTAAAGCAAACTAGACACCGAAAAAGGAGACTACCAGACATTTGAATCGGCTTTGTAATGTGGTTAGGCTAATTCACAAGTTTGTCAAATTTGTATATTCACCTTTGAATAAACATTTAAGGTACAAGGATTGTAATGAAATATGGCTAGCATAAATAAAATTACTTTTTCATGGTAACCAATAAGTATATGGTTAATTCAGAAGTTTTAGGCTGAGTTACACCAATTAACTTTGACCGTAACTTTAACGATAACCGGTGTTTTTTGTATGGAGTTTGACAGATTTTTGAAAGTATGTCAAAGTTAAAGTAAGATGGTGCAAGCAACCCTCCCTTAAAGAAGTCGCACTCAGTAAAAAAGGATTGACTACAAGTTTTTTCATATTAGGATCGTAGCTATTTAGCTGTTGACACGACTCATTTCTATTCAAGTGATAAGTTTCGCTAAGCTACATTTTTTGAAATTGAAATGAGAATTTATTTTCCATAGTTATGTTCTTACATCAAACGATATAGGTCCTACCTACGTGTAATCTGGACAGTTATTTTGGAATAAAATATTCTGTTATTCACCACCATAATAGCGATAAGTAAACTCGTAGAGACTTAGAGCTGTATTAGTATAGTTTTACAGAACTCTGATCATCGCGTTATACTTTTTGTTAGGTAATTAACTTGTTAACCATACATTTTGTTGACCACCTCTCTTTCTCATAGCACAAAACCGAGCACCCCGCATCAAAGAACACCCGTCCAACACGGTGTCGGGCAGAAGCGAACCTGCGACGCTGCGGTGCGTGGTGGAAGGCCGGCCCAAGCCAGTGGTACATTGGTACAAGGATGGGCTGGTACTGCCACCAGCTGAAGACGGACATAGGGTCCTGTTGGAGGATGGATTGCTGTTTCTAAGGTTAGATTTTGATTAGTTATTACATATTAGTATGTTTTTCAGGCTGATGTGAAGTTACGACTAGGGCATGTAATATCGGAAGGTTTTCAATTCCGATATTGAATTCCGATATTAGATATCAATATCGGAATTCCGATATTAATATCGGAATTGAGTTCATGTGCTATAAAATTAATATTTGGTTATATTCGTAAGAATTCTGGATTGTTTACAATAAAATAATGATTGTAATCAAAATCTTTAATTTGGTACAAAACAGCACTTCATAAAATTGAAGTTTTAAAACCATTTTTACGTTATGGGTATCCATTTCGTTTGGTTTTTTATGTGACAAGAGGCAAACGAGCAGACGGATCACCTGATAATGAATGGTTACTGATATGAGCCTATATGGACTAGCAAATAATTAAAGTGTTTTTGTAAAATCACAGATATCAAACAAACTTTTACTCCTTCATTATATTACCCTGTTTTATGTTGGCGGAACGAATTTTAGAGTCATTCAAATCACGTGCTACAAAAATTGTAGAGAGTGGTAAAAAACTTGAATATGCTTGTAATTTGTTCCTTTTTGATTATAATCGATGTACAATTCACAAAACCACGGGCCATCATCATCATCATGTCAGCCATAGGACGTCCACTGCTGAACACAGGCTCCGATAATGATCCATCCAGCGCCTTCCTGCTACCTTTATGAGGTCGTCGGTCCACCTTGTGGTTACGAGTCCTACGCTGCGCTTTCCGGTACGTGGCCTCCACTTCAGAATCTTGCTGCCTCATCTTCCGTCTGTTTTGCGTACTAAGGCAGAACCGTTGGAAGACCTTATCACAATGCTCGAAGACCTTAATCAAGTTTCCCAACAGGTAGGCCTTCGGATGAATATGGAAAAAACGAAGCTTATGTCGAATGTCCATGTTGCTCCTTACCCAGTTTCGGTTAGGAGCTCGATTCTCGAGATTGTTGACAAGTAAGTATATGTCTATCTCGGACAATCGATCAGCTAGGTAGTTAGATGCAATTTCAAGAAAGAGGTAAATCGTCGAATACGAAGACGAAAGTCTTCAATTAGTGTGTGTTACCAGTGATGATATACGGCTCGAAAACGTGGCCTTTGAATATAGGGCACAACGTGCTATGGAGAGGGATAAGCTTGGAGTTTCTTTACGAGATCTAATCAAAAATGAGGAGCTCCGTAAACTAACTAAGGTCGCTGACATAGCCCGACGGATTAGCAAGCTGAAGTGGCAATGGGCAGGGCACATAGTACGCAGAACTGACGGTCCATAGTCCAGTAAAATTAATGTTTGAAAGGGAGTTGAGATGTCGTTCTTTGTTGACCAAGTACCTATGGCAAATGCTAAAATTGATTTAGAACAAGTTAAATTAACCATAAATAGTAAAGATATTAAAATATTTGCAGTGGAACAAAAAGTGATGGTGAGAGACATGAGAAAATCATTGGTCTTTGCCAATCATGTACTTTGGGCTTTGTGGCAGGTTGTGGCGAGTTTAAACGCTTTGTTTAAAATCTCAATTAAAACTTTTATCTGATTCCGATATTACGATATTGGGTCGCTCAATATCGGAATTGAAATATCGGATCTCGCAGTCCGAGATTCCGATATTACGAGATTCCGAGATTCCGATATTCATGCCCTAGTTACGACTAATAATGTAAAACAGTATTTTACAATGGAAGAGTGCCGCGCCCGGTTTATTGCGTTGTCGCACTGATAGATGATATTCGCGTACTGTTTCATGTATTTCTGTTCCTATAAGAATTAGCCTAAAGGATAGTGTGTGGTTAAATATTGAATTTTGTGTAGAATATAATTTTGTTTCTTTAGGGTGAATCGAGGCAAGAAAGAAAGCGACGAAGGAGTGTATTGGTGTGTAGCAAGGAACTTGGCTGGTGAAGCAGTCAGTCATAATGCTTCTTTGAATGTTGCCAGTAAGTAGATCTTTTGAGGTTTTGCATGTCATTTTAGTATGTATTAGCATATTCGATAGAGATCATAATCGATAAACGTTTTTAGTGCTCCGTGATGACTTCAGAGCAGAGCCTACAGATGTTGTGGTGGCGGCTGGAGAACCAGCTCTGATGGTTTGTTCACCTCCTCGAGGTGTGCCAGAACCTTCAGTGCACTGGCTCAAGGACGGACAGCCTTATGACGTAGAAGTGAATGGCAGGTAAAGAATAAGCCTTCAGAGTATGAAATCATCAAATCATTGTAATTTTGAAGTATAGAACATTATTGTTAATCTAATTTTAATTGCAGGGTGACAGTAACAGATACAGGAAACTTAAAAATTGTAGAAACCTTACCGACGGACAGCGGCCTATTCCGATGTGTGGCCTCGAACATAGCGGGCGAACGACAGTCAAGAGCCGCCGGGCTAATTGTTTTACGACGGCCACATTTCGTCGTCAAACCCAATAACATCACAGCTTTAGTAGGACAAACCGTAGAATTTAATTGCCAGGTAAATTCACCCCACCTTTACAAAACGCAAATAGTTTTACGAGCGCAGACCATGTCGTTATCTCGATTGCTTTTATTTTAGAGTTACGATACGAATGTAAAAATAACTTGGGTTAAAGAGGATAGTCCGTTGCCGTCGCACGCCACAATAATTCGAGGACTATTGCGATTGGAGCATGTATCTGCGGCCGATGCGGGCATCTATTCCTGTCGAGCTGATAGCCAAACTGGTTCCAGCATCACGAGCGCCACTCTCACCGTTTACTGTAAGTTCGTCGCTGTTTTGGTCGATTTTATTACATTCATAATGTCCGCCTCTATTTTAATACGGCCATATGTTTCAGCGTTACCGCACTTCACGCAGATACCGTCGAATTTGACCGCATGGGAGGGCGATGTGGTGTCGATACCCTGTGAAGCGAAAGGGTTACCGACTCCAACAACATTCTGGATACTAGAAGGGAATCAGGACTCGCTGCTATTCCCCGAATGCATGAAAAGCAATTCTAGCTTGCTGTATTTAGATGAGGCAAAGGCGGCGCACAGCGGTAGAGTAATTTGCACAGCGGTCAACGCAGCTGGAAGCATTATGCAGGAGGCTTATCTTACTGTGCTCAAGAAAGGGAATAATGAATTAAAGGAACCCTCTTCGGGACAGGACTTAACTATCTTGTACGAACGGGAGGCGCACATGACGCAATATGAACTTGTTCAAGCGAGAAAATATCTGCAGCAAAATGTTTTAGCTATGCGGAGGGTGGAAGCATTGTCTTCGACTTCGCTGAAAGTTGTTTGGGATGTAGGTATATTGCAGTGCCTTGTTATGATCTTGTTCCCCTTGTCAACACTGAAGACGATAACAATGCTCCTTTGTTTTAGGTTTTGACGGATTATAACGAGTACCTAGAGGGCGTCAAAATATGGTATAATGGGACGACTCTAAATTGGCAAACCGCTATAACTGAGGAGTTTGCTTTACTAAATGCTTCTCATCCAGGAACGACCTTATGTTCAAACGGTTCTTTGACGAACGTGGACAACAGTGGATCGTCAAGTTACATTTTGTCTGGACTGATGGCGTACACTCAGTATGATATATTTGTCATGCCATATTATAAAATGTTACTGGGGAAGCCTTCTAATTTGATGTCTGGCTATACGGAAGAAGATGGTAAGTAACTTATCTGTTTGAGCTTATCATACAATATCATTCCATTTGTTTAAGTACCTAGTTCTTGACTTGGTATTTTAGTTCAAAACTTTCTTTTGTTTTTCCCCTACTTAAACACTGCTTTAAGTTTTGAAATGACATAGCATTTACATTGATGTTTATTTTAGTACCATCGGCGCCGCCCCAGAGTGTGACTGCGGGTGTCATTAACGCCACTTCAGCCTGGATCCGATGGGAACCGCCACCTGTGAACACTTGGAACGGGGAAATCACGGGGTATTTAGTGAGTGTCTCCATTTTAATAATCATGTTATTCTGTTTTGGAACTGAAGTGCTGGTTTAACACTGGCACATTAATTATCCAATTTCGGTGTTGAGTTATATTCCGACATGAAAGGGTTGGTAAACGATTCTTGTGGTTATTGAGCCAGATAGACTCATTTTATAACTCATTAATTTTGAGATAAAAGGAGCGAGTAAAGAAGAGGATGTCATCTACACGCCATTTGCTCGAAATAGATCAAATGTCAAAGTGTTGTCATAGTCATATCCCACAGAGATGGCAATCGGCCAACAGCTGTAAACTAGATTCTTCCTGCTAACTTTCGTTCAGTGGCCAGATCTATATCAAGCTAGACTACATGAGAGAGCTTTTTGTCATACAACATGTGAAGACTGAGCCAAGACATGTACATTTTGATCCCAAGAAACTACATAAGTACTTATCTATAAGAGCGTTGCTAAATCAAATAAGTTATAAGCATAACTTAAAGACAATAATCACCACTAACCTTATATCCTGTACCTTTAGATCGAAATTCGAGTAAGCGGCAGCAGCGGCGGCAGAGTGGTCGGTCAGATGTCACTCGGGCCTCGGACCCGCGCGGCCGCAGCCAGCTCCTTGCGGGCTGGTGGGAGGTACACAGCCCGCGCTGCAGCGGTGACTAAGCGAGGACACGGCCCGTTCAGTGTCCCTGTGCAGATACACATGTCGCCGACACAGTCGCAGAGGCATTATGTGCAGTGAGTATTACATTAAGCAAAACATTATCGTGTTGTTGAGGGTGTCTTTTTTGTCGTCGTGGCATGTACCCGTGGGCGCACGCCGTTACTGTCTGTGGTAGAGAACATTTTTTTGGGGCGTAGTGCCAGCTATATATATATATATCAACAAGCTGACATATAAAACTTTGAGTATTTATATCCTCATAATATTGTCAGAGCAGGGCTCTAAGTGGTTTTTGGGAAAATGGAAAAAGAAAATAGAAAATGGGCTTTGTAGTGTTTTCTGTCAGATTAGGAAAACTTAGGCTGGAAGCTCTACTGTAGTATGTTGTTAGGTCCTTAATACAGCCATAGGCTCATTACGAGAAGTGCGTTTAGGTAACATCGTTTGTTACGCTGCCACTACAAAGTGACTATACAAATTTTGACATGGATCATTGAACATATCACAAAGGCACTAAGCGTAGTGAGTATTGTACGTGTAATATTATCGCGCAGCAAGTGCATTGTGCGGTGTATGGGCACGGGTCATTTGTGAATTTGTACTGATATAACGTGGCGACAGTGTTAGTAAAATGAGACTTGTTGAGTGTGATGTGGTTTGTTGTTATTTGAGTAGGTACTGTGTATTCAGTAAAATAGCCCGTGCGCATTGTTCAAGATTCCTAGCTGAATATTTTAAGTAGCAGTCGTATGTTATTACTAATTTGATTAATGTAATAGTCATCCAAAGATCTGATGTTTAACAGACCTTTTTAAGTTTTAAAAGAACAAAGGATCTTAATCAATATATTTTTTAGGACGGAACCACCAAACGACTCGAGCATATCCAACATATTCCAAGAGACGTGGCTCCTCGCGCTTGGCCTCATATTATTCACCGTAATAGCCATCGGAGTCTTCAGCGTCTATTACATCAAGCGTCGCAACGGCACCCAGAGAAAGAAGTCAAATGGTAAGCGGCTGTCACATTCATAACCATCCGTTTCAATTTCAAATTGAACTAATAGAAATGGAGTAATTGAAACATTGAACTCAATTGTAGGTCAATCGATTGTGACGGCGCAACAGTGCTTACTCAATAAGGACACGATATGGTTAAGAGATCGACCAGTCTTCGCAGCTCCGAACAACCCAAGTTTGAACATGAGCAGCTGCCACCAGAGCCTTTTACACGGTCAGTACACCTACTTAGAATGATACACACATCTGTGTACACAAGAACATTGTACGCTACAAAGGTTATCTTTAAATTTACAGCGTTATTACAATGTTTACTTAACAAATAACACTCGCGAATATCATTTGTATTTCCTTGTGACTAATATCGTGTTGTACTTCGTAGGCGGACAGTCGACCAGCATTCTCAGCGTAGAGCCGGAGTACAGTCTACCACAGAATTCCATTCAGGGACTAGACACGTCAAGCGTCGACAGGATGCGACGCGGCCCACCGGAGCCCTACGCTTCCAACGCTATTTACACCGAACTCAATTTCAAGGTATGCACCGATAAGCTTTATGAGAACTATACTGTTGACACTAGATTAGATTACGTATTCGATTTGCGTAACTCAACACGTATGTTGTCAGTTACAAGTCACAAATGATTCTATAATAACAATGCGTTTCAATTTTCACTCAGGACAACGAGTTGGGTGATATGAGGAGCTGTCAAGAAAGGCGGTCGCATAACAATAGCATAGTTAGATCGTGTAACGGGAGCATTCAGTACTCGAATGGCGAATGTTCGACGTGTTGTCATAGCACTTCGAGTAGGTCGACGAAGGATTACAGAGAGCCTAGACATGAGGTTGTGCATAACGAGATAAATGTTATGGAGGACGATTGTGTGTCGTGCCACACGAACAGATCTGGGTCCAGGAGTAGACAGGACAAAAGCAAAGTGTGCCCGACGAATGATTTAGAGTACGACTATCCTCAGTGGCACTGGCTCGGCAGGGAGAACAGTTTCAAAATACCCATACAAGCGGGCAGACACTCGAACGTGGCGAGGTCCGAACAGGGCTGTCAAATAAATCTATGTGATATACTGCCACCGCCGCCGTACGAGGTAAATTGAACTGGATTTTTTCATCAAAATATTTTTTACGAATCTAAATTTTTGAGTGTAACACTATGTTTTCTTTTGCAGAGTCCAGAGAATAAGAACAACTAGAAGATAGTGCTGTATGAATACTCTAATATACACTTTATCATTAAACTTCGCGAAGCAATAAATCAATTACATATTGTTTTCATTCTATGTAAGTTAGATTTTGCGTTTCCAGATTTTTATCCCGGTTTGTTCAAAACACTTGAGATGTTAATAAAATTTTAATGTATGTATGTAGATTTAAATAAAATCAGGTAATCGTTGTAGAATGCAGTTGTAGCTTGTATCACGTATGTATTGTAGGAACTGAACTTTGAATAGATACTAGTAACTAATTCCTATTAATATTCTAGTCACCCTGTATAGGACTAGTTTACAATTTGGTGTAACATTTCCCCGTATTTTTACAGTTGTATACTAATGCGAAACTCAATGAAGGTTGTCCCCTTGACTACAAAAGTAGGTATATTAGTCCTGCATTTCACTGCCATATGTTTATTAGAATTATTAGTTGTATAATCTTTGACTGTGATATTTATATTAAATTTGTGTATTAGAAGTTAATGTAATCCTAGTTTTAATATCCCTGTCTTAAAGAAAGTTTCTTATCTACTTATTCGATACTTATGACGTAAAAATAAGTTAAATATTTGACGTTTAAATAAGAGTTAGGAGTTACACGAGTTAATTTATTAAGGAAGCTTTCTTTGAGCCAGTGCCAAAAATCCCAACTAATAATATTATAAATGCGAAAGTAACTCTGTCTGTCTGTCTGTCTGTCTGTCTGTCTGTTACGCTTTCCCGCTTAAACCTCGCAACCGATTTTGATGAAATTTGGCATAGAGATAGTTTGAGTCCCGGGAAAGAACATAGGATAGTTTTTATCCCGGTTTTTGAAACAGGGACGCGCGCGATAATGTTTTTCTGTGACAGACAAAATTCCACGCGGGCGAAGCCGCGGGCGGAAAGCTAGTAATTATTATAATTAAGACCCTGCAATACTTTTCAAATTTTAACTACATATAATAGAAATCTGTAATTTCACAAAACATTTGTATAAAACGTTTACAATATTTTCAGATTCAAGTATGTTGTAAACTAAAATCCTGAATATAGCAAATTTATAAAATATATTTAGATATTTTATTAAACCCAAAGTATTATTAGGTCAAAGATTACTTCACATAGATCTGACAGCCAACATACTCGTAGTTCTTTACCTAGAAAAATACTCTTTTATAAAAAAGTTGGTTCTAATTTTTTGTAACAATCTCTAATAAATTAATAATTGACAAACTCTATAGTACCTCTTTTAATCTCTTTTATTTTTTTAGTTGTAGCAAATGAGGTAAAGCAAAAGGTGAGGTGTCTCTCATTATTACGTCACTATAGGAGACTAAACTAGCTTAAACCACTAAGATTATGCCTTCTGAAACAAGGAATAATATTTTTTTCAGGTCAATCAAATTGTAAAACCTCAATGTCGTAAGTTCCTACTCAAACTAAATTAATCACTCAAAGTGACTTTCAATTTGCATCCAATATCTCAACCTTTCCAGAATTAACCTCTCTGACACAACAACTAGACCACGGAGACTGTTAACGATCAATCAATAAAGAATAATACATTTTCGAAATGAGTGGCATAAATTTTATCAAGAATTACATCTTTAAAACATCTTCAATCATGGACGCATTTAACTTGTCTAGAAGATCACTACATTTTTTCTTTTTAACAACATTTTAACATCATGTCCGACACAATTTCTTTGTTACAGTGTTCTTTTTTGCGAAACTATAGTCGTATTAAAATTATAAACGCCGTTGTAAATTATGCTAGACTATGTAACGAAGCACGTCGTTACCAGCGCTTATAGGTCTTTGTGATGTCGTTAACTCAATAGGCTGTTTAACCAATATCCACTTTCGTAGTTTTTGTAGCTAACAGCTCTGATAATGTAGAAAAAGTTTTGTGGTGAAGTTGACAAAAGCGCATGTTAACTTCAATATAAAGAAAAAAAAAATGAAGTAAGCACAGAAAACTTAAAAATCCTATGTAGTTATCTTCATTAATTGAGACTGAAAGAGGTAAAAGCTATAGGTTTCAGATATTTGTGTAATGCATCGCATAAAAATCACTTATCATTTCGACTATTCGAATGTACAATTATTACTTTTACTTCTTACAAGACAAGACTCCTTTGATGTGAAAGTTTTTTTATCAGCACCAAAATAAATCATAAGTACTGTGGCCTACAAACTAGGTTACGCAAGCAACCCAAACATGAATCAATGTCTGATTATAGACTTATCGTACGGTAACATCGCTTTGATTACCAAATTTCACATCTAACGTAACTTTGAAGGAACTGCAGCATTAATCAACACAATATATTGCTGCTTGAACAAAATGAAAAATCTTATTTTCTACTAGCTCTTAACCCTTAAGAGCATTTGGCTATAAATCGTGTGCCCAATTTATTCCTGTCTTGCTTACGTATCGGTCACATTTATAGCTACCTTTCTCGTACGAAATGAGATTTCCTTTATCAGGGTTTTGGAAAGGAACAAAGGCCCATTCGATTCAAATTACCGCTGATACCTTTTGTGGGGAATTCTATGCAAGTACAGAGTGGTCTTCTAATTATTTTTACTTTAAATAGCGCTACTGTCCTTTGCTGAGTCTAGGAAGGGAAACTATTTTGTTACAAGTCTTCTTTGGTGTGGTGCCTTATTGGTAAGGACTTTAGTAAATGAACTGCCTCGTTAGCCAAGTCACGAAATATTGATTACATTGTTCGTAAATTAATTAAAATCAGAATTGTTTTACAGTTACACACTGTCACGAAGTTAGGATGAGTCACCTTATAAATAATCGTTTCACAATGTTGATACTTTTTGTGGTTTTATTCTATCACCAACTTANCTAACTTGTTTACATTCAGCGGTCGGTTACTCATATCTATTCAACTTAACCCAGAAGTAGGTCATAACAACTTATTGAATATTCATGTTTTTAAAATTTCCATAATTTACGTATAATCTGTTTGTCTGATACTTACGTTTTCACATCTAAACCATTTAATTTTCGGCAAGTTTAGATTGGACCTTGGAAAATGATGTCTTTGATTTTAACATTTTACTCACGAGTTAGTACGTCACATAAGTGTACCTACCATGAGTTTACGTTAGGTGTGCTCGCTAGCGAGTACGTCAAAAATCTGCACAATATGTCATACAATTAAATGTAATTTTTTTACGCCGTCGCTAGCGAGCACACCTAACGTAAACTCATGGTAAGCACAAAGATTTCAACATCATCATTATTTCAGCCACAGGACCGTTCACTGCTGAATATAGGCTTCCCTTAATGATGAATAAAACGAATTTCATTTAAACTGATAGAATTGGAATTTCATTGTACTAACCATGAATGAAGAAAAGGCATACTTGAAGTATTTAATAAATAATTTACTCTACACATACAAAGTGGCGGACGCCATATTCTACTCATTTAAAAACTTGAATGCCCACACGTTATATCTAGTGCAGTTTATCTTAGCTAACATACATGATCAACGTCATAATGATCTTAATATAACATACTAGCTTTCCGACCGCGGCTTCGCGCGTGTGGATCCCTGAACCCTATGTTTTTCCAAAATAAAATTTAGCCTATGTTACTTGTGGATAATGTAGTTTTCGAATGGTGAAAGAATTTTTAAAAACGGTCCAGTAGTTTTTGAGCCTATTCATTACAACCAAACAAACAAACAAAGTTTTCCTCTTTATAATATTAGTGTAGATTTTAAAGTGAACACTAACCGGTGAGATATTAATTAAAATATTTGGAGGCAAGTAAACAGCGCAATGAAATAACAATATCCAGGGTTGGCAGAGAGCCAATTCATTAAGAGATTCCTAACGCTTCAACACTTTAATATAATAAATTGTCTACCTCTTACCACGTGTTTGAAGAGATGAGTGTATGAGACAAAAGGATTCATTCATGTCTGGAAATGTTTCATGCGAAGGAGGCAGAAAATGAAGACATATCTACGTACTTTCAACAATGAACCTAATATATTTGGAAAGTACCTTTATGATTTTAACCATAAACAAAGAAACTCTTGATCTACATCTCATCTGATGATAAAACAGCTCTTACTTGATCATCATCAGGCCAAGGTGGAAGCGAGCTTCACCGGGAATCCTCCGCCACAGGGGAATGGCCATCTCTACCTCCACCTGCCGAAACAAAAAATATTGTTAGCGTGCTATCAGCAGGCCTAGGTTAGATAAAATTGTTCTTACTCCATAACTACGAGAAAAAAACTTTTTAAAATGCTGGTTCAAAACCTTTCATCTATCATGATTTTATTTCAATATTATAAATACACAATATTATGAGATTGCTATTGAGATTATGACTTTGGAGCGTTAGAACGTCAAGTAACGAATTGCAAGTAGGTAAATGATGTGGGAGTACTTTATGAGGTTTGTGTCGAACAGATGGTTGAAATACAATTGACCAGAAGATCGAGTGCTCTACTACAATGGTAGAGTTAAAGTGTGTCCAAACTGTTGGCTTAATTTGCATGAAAAAGTCTTGAAGCCAATACGCCAGTGTCTTTGGTCAGACTTTACTGAGAAATAAGTTACCGAATATATAATAAATATATCTGAAAGGTAGAGCCAATATGTGGTGCACACTTTAATAAAATAAATATTATGTATTTAGGTATCCGTTTGTACCTCTACTCATCATCATCATCATCATTTCAGTCACAGGACGTTCACTGCTGAACATAGGTTTCCCCCAATGACTTCAACTTCCTGATGCTACCTTTATCAGGTCGTCGGTCCACCATGTAGGTGGACGTTCCACGCTGCGTTTTCTGTTGCTGCGTACCTGTAGTATGACAGGTAAATAGTGAGTATTGTTCAGTCATTCAGCTAGCACATAATAATTCTATGAACATTTAATTTTAGAGTTAGTTGTATGTTTATAACTGTTTCAAAATATAGCTACTAAAGAGAGTTTATTATGTTGATGGCGTAGTAACACTCTATGAAATATTAAAATATTTACCAAAACTACTGTCTG